CAGAGTTTCGGGTCACAACACTGGTTAGGTACAGGCTTTTGTAAGTTTAAAATTTTGAAGTTTTAAAAAGTGCTAAAATCCTATCATGATAAATTAATCATTAGAGTTTGATGATGATGAATTTTTTTTGATGTTAAAGTTGTTCTTGCAATTGCTTTTTATTTAATTCATTATCAATTAATCCTGATAGAGCAAAATTTATAAGTAATCAAATAAACTATTTAACTGTCAAAAAATCCATTAATAAAATGTGACCAGAAAGAGTCTAATAAGAGAATTGTTTGTTACACACCATTCAATCAATTCTCCGCAAAAGGAAACAGTTAATATAAATCGTGGCTGGGCCTCGAATGATAATTTCTCAATACTTTGCTAATTCACTCAATAATTGTGTAGTTTTCCGCCAAAATTCATCCGCCAATTTGAATTCCCGTGAGAATATTCGACATCTGCCAAAATTAAAATATTCGAAATTAATATTCAATTAAAGAAATGACAACAAATCAATGTCCTTAGTACACTATGGCCTCGATAAGTCATAACAGATACATTTTGTGGATGTTCAAAATATATATCGCCCGGATATCTCATATGCCTGGATATTTTAATTTTGGCGGATGTCGAATATTCTCACGGGAATGCGAATTTTGGCGAAAAACCACACAATTATATTCACTCGTTAGTTTTCACCCTAATTTAATATTCCTTAAAATAAACTAGACCTTCCTGTTAAGAATAATTCCGAGTTCTTTTTAAAGTGAAATTCTAATTAATATTTACTAAATCACTAATTTATTTATTTTTGAATTTAATAAATTAAATATTTTAGCTGTTAAATATATATATATATATAATTTTTATATTATTAGCTCACCTTATATCAACTCCAGTTTGAGAAAATAATTGTACAACGGAGTTAAATTCACTTACAAGCTTTACATATATGTCAGAAACTTGTTTTTCTTTAACATATTTTACCGCCCAACCATTTAAACTTTCTAATAAAGCTTTGGTAGTAACAAGTAGTTGAGTGACCATTTTTTCTATTAAAATCATCTACAAAAAGAAAATTAATTAATTAATTAGCGATATAAAAAGATACAAGCGTTGAATGCTACAACCACACAACTTATGCTATAATAACACTAAACTTGAGAATTTGCTCTATTTCGTCTTTGAGGTACAACTCTCGGTGAATTTTTATAATCTCTTTGTGGTGTAGGAACTACATTACAATTTGATTGTGTGGTAAGTGTTTGATGGCGAGTTGGATAATCCATTTTATTTTTTGATAACAAGTCAACGCAGATCAAAATATAATAAATAAATAAATAAAAATACCCGGAGGAATTGTTAGAATGCCCGATAATAATAATAATCATTATAAGTTTTTGGGAATCTGGCGTTTGTCTGGATGAAAATTTTCCTATCCAATTTTTTTTGAAATGATTAAATCATACTCATTTTTTCCGACCAATCTTCTTCGTTTCTTCATTTTGTACATGGTATTAGTATATATTTTCAGGTAATAAGGTTTTTTTAGACCTTGGCATAAATATGTGTAAATTCATTCCAGTTATCCAATAACTGAATTCCAAAGATAAAGTGTAATGGAGGAATTCAAAGTGGGCGGGATACCATGAATTTGCACTTGAGTAAAGGATCTGTTGGAGTTTCTCATGCATTCAGCGTTTGATATGTTGTATTTAATATTCATCCTATTTTTCACAAATGATTTTATGCAGCTTTGTGATTCTATAAAAGGAAAAATAATTTTGATATCATTCTCTCGTCATTTCTGCACCAAATTATTTATAATCGTCATAAATAAACATTATAATGGCTAGTTACAATGTATGGTGATAAAAGATATGTCACAGTAAAGAAAGGCTTAAACAATAAATTATGTTTTTGTTAATACATATAAAAGTACATAATGACTTTAATATGAAAAACCACCAGAGCAATTGGATGGAAGAGAATACTCGAACCCAAAGCCATTTATGAGTTATTCTGGCAGAAACCTCTATACTGATTTTTTATAAATAATATCATTGACTGGTCCAGTAAACTTTCACGGTTTATTCAAAGAGATTGGTTGAAAATACTTCAAATAGTCATCAGTTGGTGTTTCTATTCATATTTGGAGGTTGGAATGTAATATTTTGATAAAATTGGTACGAGACCATCTAGAATATATTTATATTCGTTCTAATGATAAAAACCCTACAAGTTGAATTAATTAAGAGACATTTGACAAATTAAAAAAAAATCACTATTTATTTATTTTTAAGGAATCCTATATACAGGACCAGTCTGGCGGCTGAATATACAGGACCTTTCTAATTTGGAGGTGGCACCTACGATCTGTGTGAACTCTTGCTAAATTCAGGTTCTATATATAAAAATCATGCAGATCAAGCATAGCATTCGTTTTATCACAAGTGACAAAATCGATCATTGATCTTAGAAAAATAGGGCACAAAAACTTGTTTAACCTATGTATGTATATTTTGCTTTTTTATGTTCTCAGTATGTGTGTGAAAAATTATCAAATGATCAAGTCGCTTTTGAAGGGTTACATAGGAGCTATATTTCAAGCTTTAGTGATCAATGTAAGTATATATTGTAAGACATTCTAGGCTCAGAATTGTGCATTTTTGCTTTATAATATGTTTATATTTTACCGTTTGAATCATTTAATAAATCTTTTATAGTAAAACTATAGATTTGTTCTTATTCATATTTAATTTTCAAAAGAATCAAGTTTTTTCCCTTTTTTTGGTTTACATATTTGTAAATGATGGAATCTGCAAAGTTGAGATTCATTGACTTTTAAATAATTTAAATATGAAAATGTTCCACCATCAACTGATTTAGTATATAAAACTATAGTAAATTTTCTATAAGGTTTTGAATTTTTACAATTGAGAATGGAACAAGGACCTTTATTAGATTGTCATTTTTTAACTTATTGACTATGTCGATAGTGTAACGTGATGATTTCGAATGTCGATCAAAAATCTAAAGTCCATTATGCTATATTAATATTAAATACTATAACGTAAGTTGGTAAATGTTCTAAATTCAATTGATAAATAAATTATCTCTAAACATTAATCCTTTTTAGAGTTCGTAAATTTGCATAATGGGATATAAAAAATTTGGATTAACGGGGCAATTTTACATATAAATAGCTTCAGAAAAATTAAAAATTTCTTCGGTTTTACGGAGTGACATTCACATTAACGGGTTTTCGGATAAAGGGGTTCGGATTGCCTATGTACTTTGAAAAATGATTTTGGAATACAATTTAATATCCTTATTGACAAAGAAAATAACTTGCCAAGCAGGTTAATGCCATTTATCCATGCATATTTCTACAACTTTTCTTAGTTGACAGAAATTTATGACTGAAATAAACGAAATTTAGAGCAACTTTACTATTAACAAAAGTCAAAATCCAATTCCGCTCAGAAAAGAACAAAAATAGCAGAACATTTATGCAAATTTTGAGGTGGTGTTATATAGTCTGTGCAGCACCACTTTTCTAAATGGTACTTTTTCGATTTTTAAAATACTCTTCACGTATAAATTGTGTCAATCTTCTTTTGAAATATCTATATATGACATATTAGACGCGTGTAACGCAGATCTATTCATAAAAGGATTTTTAGCTATCAACATACCGATATGGTAAAAACCCAGGCTGTATTATACAAACACTAATTTTCAAGTTTCAAGAAATAAATTCTTTCAAAATGTCAACTCGTTTTTCAACATTAGAAAATATAAACTCATTATTTAGCAAACTTATAAATTCCAATAAAGATGCTCTATCATTAAACTATATTAGTAAACTTGTAAATGATTTAACAAAGTTGTTAATTGAAACAGACTATTATGATGTGGAAATTCAAGTTGGAGAAGGTCTGGATGTTAAAACTTTTAAAGCTCATTCCACTATTTTAAAAGCAAGGTCTCCATATTTCAAAGCTGCCTTTTCAGATAGTTGGATTAAAAAATCTGATGATGGTAGTATTATTTTATTTGAGAAAAAAAACATTTCTCCAAAAGTATTTGAAGTTATTTTGATGTAAGAATTATTTATTGATTGATTGATTGATTATAAATGATTATAATAATAACTTTTCATAAAAAATTTTTAATTTAAAAGGTATATTTACAATGGAATTGTGAATATAGATAACTTGAATCCAAAGGAAACCTTTGATCTCCTTGAAGCATGTGATGAATTAGATTTTAATGAATTAATTGGAGATTTACAAAATCACTTAATAGCTGAAAAAAAAGATTGGATTCAAGATAATTTAGTTTATGTTCATAAAATTTCATCAGATCACCAATTGTTCAATTTACTTCATGATTACTTTAACGAATTAATTTATGACAATCCTGAACTATTTTTAAGATCATCAGAATTTAATAATATTGACAAATCTATCCTTACATATACATTAAAAAGAAATGATCTTGAAGCAAAAGAAATTGACATTTGGAACTCTGTTATTCAATGGGGTATAGGACAAAACAAAGAACTAAACAAAGATATTTCAGAGTGGAACAAAGATGATTTTATCATATTAAAAATATATTAATAGATGTAATTCCATTGATAAGATTCAATCACATCACTTCATCTGATTTTCATGATAAAATTGCATTATTTAAAGAATCATTTGATAAAGGAATATATGAACAACTTCTTCAATATTATCTTGGTGATAAATGGGAACCAATATTATTACTCCAAAAAGGTCCAAGAACAAAAACAGCAAAAGGAAAATTATTAAATTTAAAAAAGAAATGTTTAATTTCTAGCTGGATTGATAAAAAAAATGACATATATAATCCAAATACTTTGCCTTATGAATTCAAATTAATTCTCAATGGAACTCAAGATAGATTTTCTAGGTCTGCTTTTGAAAAAAAATGTTATGATGTAGAACGGACTATAGCAATTATGAAAATTAAAGAAACAGGAAAATTATTTGGTGGTTATAATCCTGTTGGTTGGAATATTAAAGAAAAGTCTCCAGATGAAGGATATTATATTAAAACAAATAAAAGTTTTATTTTTGAGATTGATGAAAATCAAATAATGAATTCAATAATAAGTAGAGTTGAAAATCCAGAAAGAGCAATATGGCACAGTAGACAAAAATGTGGTGGAGCTATAAATAAAATAAGACTTCGTGAAGTTACTATAAGTTTTTGCAATTTTGCATCATGTAGTAGCATTGATAATGATCCTTATTTTTATTATTATTTTGAAGAGAATTTTGATGATCCTTATGAAAATAATTTCAACCTTATAGGCATGGATTTATTAGAATTAGAAGAAATAGAAGTCTATGAATTAGTAAAGAATGAATAATTTTTTAAATTATATTTTTTATAAAATGCATGTATTCTTTTCCAAAACAATTTTTATATTGGTAATAAATTTCTAAATCAATCAGACAACAAAATTTATGCATTTAATACTGAACAAACTTGACAAGATTTACAACCGAAATACTAGTTTCTGAATCTAATTCAACAACTGGTTTTATTCATTCCAAATTAAGCAAATATCCATACAAACTTCTTCTAAAAAACATATTAAATGTTATAATAATTGTATGTTTTTGCTCCTTTTGATCCATTATTTATGCCATCAGACTCTCGCCAACCTATATTTTCCTCTCGACTTTCTTTGTGTGATTTCATTTAATCATGTATAATAATAATAGAAAGAACAGTAAAAAAAAATGAAAGATTATAACAATTAAATCATAATTAAAAGTACAATTCAATGCAAGAACTTGTGGATCTGTTGCTTTGGATACCAATCAAATGGAATTTCTATCTGATAATTTGGAAAGGTAGCAGAAAAAAGAAGGTTATAACGATGGTGATAAACATCAAATGATGGTAAGGAGCCTTGTATGGCTTGAACTTTTTCATTGCTTGTTCGTTCACCCATATCTTTAATATTGCTCCTAAATAAATTGATGACACTTCAAACTTGTTTACTAATATAAAATATACAGCATATAGGGAGTTTCCTACTAAAAAAAGCGAAGACAAAGAAAAGATGAACATTAGACCTGAACATTAAAGTCAATGGGAAATCAGTCAAGAAATAGTATTCTTTCGCCTGCCAAATCAGATATCAAAAGAGTTGCGGCAGGGAACCTGGCCGGCTTGGATGAAGTAATGCTATATTTTTCAAGTAGTTTAGACGATTATTATTAACGATGATATAATGGGTATC